CGTTTTATTGGTTATTATAGTTTACAACTATTTCGACTCTATCATTTTCACTGTAACATATAAGTGTGTTACTCATTGTTAATAACAACTACTGTTATCAATTTGCGTTATTCTCTGAACATAACCAATTTTATTTTTTTATTACGATTATTATAATTTATTTGTTTTGTCAAACAAGAAATGGCAATTTTCACGTTGGTTATGTGTACTTTTATCATTGTCTTTAGGTTTTATGAATAATTTTCTTAGAGTTGGCATATAATAGTCCATCTCGATAAGATTAACTATATTTTATTATAAACAACCACTTTTATTGGTTATTATTTGTATTTTTATATTATTAAAATTATAAAACTTTCGAGCAGGACACAAATTCAATTTAGATATTGAGACTCTTTTTTAAATTAAATACATAAATCGATTATTTATAAACAATAAGTTATTACCATGATCAATCTCAGTTGAATTTACATATTGACACTTTCACATAGAGATTGATTCAATTCATGGCTGGATTGAATGTGTTACAATTTTTTAAACATTTGCTGTGTTTTGTGGGTTTCTTTAATATATTTAAAAGACCAAATTTGTTGTTATAAATAAATTGTTTCAAAATGCTACATTTAAGTTATTTATTGTTGAATTGTGTTGTACTTATTAAATAATAAATCAAATGATTAATTTGATACCTTTTAAATTCGCTTTCTCTTAAACCAACTAAATCATCATTTCAATTTTAAAAACAAATATCAAGTGGTCGCAATTGACTGTTTATGGGGTAACACAACCACAACAACAAAACTATATTACGTATCCGAAACATTTATTTTATTAACGTAAATATCAAAAAATCAACTATTTTTTGAGGTTACAAAAATTTTTAATTATTTTTTTGTTTTTAATTAATGTTTTAGAAATGATACAAAATGTTTTTTCAACTTATAACAATAAATAATATTTTTTACTATAATTTGCTAAAGCCGACTTTTTCCACCAACTCTTTATTATTTTGGTTGTAATTTTTGTTCTGTTTTGCTTTCAATTATTTATATAAAAAATAAATGCACAAAACGATTTTTTAGTATAAAAAAAATATAAATAATTCCATTGTGATAATTGTAAATTATTTGTTTTTATTTTTTAGTAAAATCACCTAATAATATTTCAAAATTATTTAAACAGTTTTGGGAAAAATTTTTAAAACTGTTAAAAAAGCAGTATTGGGTTGTTGGCGAGTTAAAAACTATATTTTGTGACATAAATGGTTTTATTATCACAAAATATAGTTTTTATATATAATAATTTATAAATTTATATTTATTTATCGCATCATCAATTATTTAAATCGATTAAAAATAATATTAATAAACAACAATTTTACAATTAATAACAAATTATTTTTTTATTTGATAATATAAAAGTGAATTATAAAAACAATTCTTTAACTTTATTAACAATAAAAATTGAAAAAAGTCTTTTATCGCAACAAAACAAAGTAACTATAAAATTGTTGGATTAAAATAACACTTGTTAAATTTTGATATAAATATAATAATTAATCAATAAAATTTAACAATAATATAAAAACAATATTAATAACCAATAAAATAACTTTTTAATCAACTTTTTAAAACGATGTCTCAACCTTCTTCCGAGGCCCCTCAATCTAAAAAATATAAAAAAGGTTCCGAAAACATGAAAGTTTGAAAATGATTGGTCCGAAAATTCCCTTTAGTCAAAGGGCCGAACAATACCTAATTAATTGCCATATTATTTTTAAAGCTCTTCAAGATTTTGAGATAAAAATAAAAAGAATCTTTTCCCACTTTTAGAGAGCAAGTGCGGTTTTCATTAAACGATCTTTCTAATGTACAAATTAATGAGTTTAAAAGAACTAAAAATCAATTGGAGTAACATTTGAGTATTTTATCGGGATTTTTAAGATTTTAGTGTGAATTCCCAAATTCAAAAAATACAAAAAGAAGACAATAATGGAGAAATTTCGGAAAGGGGAAGAAAAAGACTATTTTCAAACAAAGAAGTACTATAATAGCAGAAGAAATGAAGGAAACCAAAAAAGCAAAACCAAAATAAATTTACTTTTAATGTTTAAAAATTTTGGCAAAACAATGGGAACAAGGCAACTAAATAAAGTCCTCAAAGTAATAACAGTAATTGAAACGAAAATAGCCCAAGTTGTGGAAACATAACGACCAGAGGTATTCCAAACTGCCATCCTGCAGTATTACTCAGAATTAAAAAGAGAATCGGATGAATGCAAATTTCATCTTGTTTTTAATATAGTAGAATCAACCCATTCGATGAATGGGTTGATTCAAGAACCCGAGTTGGCTACGTGTCAGTCGAATCAGGAGAAGAATTTTTAACGAAGTCGACAGATATGGTTCTAGAACAAGTTTTTTTGTGTTGTGGTTGTCTAGATGGGACAAAAATGATACCCCTTGTTGTTACCAAAAGACTCACCATCGAAGACAAGCTAATTGTTGAACTCAAAAGTCTTGCTATTATTAGATACCAAAAATCGGGTGTTCTAAATACGCAATTATTTACATTGTGGCTCAAACAAGTGTTTTTCCCGAATATTAAGGAAAAAAATAAGAATGGGTGTGAGAGTTGATACGAAGGCATATCTAATTATTGATGGATTTTCGGGTCATTTCAGTGATGAAATTGAAGCTTTATTTCGGGGATAATTGCG